GATACATGACAATGATGGATTCAATGACTAATGAAGGTGAGTTTTCATGTTGGGATTACAAACAGATGACAGTTAAAGAATATGTTTGGCTAAGATTAAAAGTAAGTAAGTTTGTTTCAAAATGATTAATTAATTTTTTTTTATATAAAAAATGGAATTACTGATTTTGACTGTAAGACAAATTAATTTTAAAGTAAGTAATTTTTTCGTTAAAATTTAAGAAAAGGGTAACCTCTGGACATGTTTGGAAATATGAAGTTATTTAAAAGTAACTCCCACTTATATTTAAGCTTAGCCAGAGATTCTCTAAGTGACTAAGTCCAAGACAAATTTGTTCAAATCAATTTAGTTGTTTCTGGTCCGTTGTTCTAATTGAATTTCTGTTATATTGTAGAGTTGGATAGTTCCAACCCAAAGCTCATGAATGAATCGCGAATCATGCGGATAGCAAGAGGTTCGGGTCGACAAGTAAAGGAAGTAATGGAAATGATGGAAGAGTACAAGCGGCTAGCCAAGATTTGGAGCAAGATGAAGGGACTTAAGATTCCGAAGAAGGGAGAAATGAGTGCCTTGTCAAGAAACATGAATGCACAACACATGAGCAAAGTCCTCCCTCCTCAGATGTTGAAGCAAATCGGAGGTATGGGTGGTTTACAAAGCTTGATGAAGCAAATGGGTTCTGCTAAGGATATGATGGGTATGTTTGGAGGAGGCGAGGATAAGTAGAAACTTTTATTTGTATCTGTTGACAGAATTGCAAATGCAAATGGGTTGTGCCGAGTGTAATTGAATTGCTGGGCTCTCGAATGATAGGAATTAGTTTCATTTCACTGAATCTTTCAATAGGGAAATTTCAAAACGACGATTTACTCAACCTAAATCGAGAGTTACTTTGTTATATTTTCTTCATTTTGTTTATGTTACCAAGAAAAACAGGTGGCAACACCACCACCAAGTGGCGTGCTCGTAGAAGTAGGATGGGAGCGTCAATGGATGGGTTGAACACTTGAGATTAGGATTATCGAAGCCTATTTTTATTGGTTTTTCAAGGCCAATTTTTCTTCACATTTGTTAAAAGG